TTACTATGTTTGCCATCTTAGTTTAGGATGTTAGTATGCTAGCATTGGGCATTAGATATCAACACAAAGTACAGCTAAGGTTTGATGGGAATGTTTGGTCTGTAATTCACCTGGACCTGCTCTGGACCAAAGTGCTGACCAGGTGAATGACCGACATTGCCATCCCTAGAGCCATGTGGCTAAAAAATAATAAGGTTGAGTGCCTACAATTCACTAAAACCAAAAATGAATGAAATATACACCCAAACCTTGCATACAGCAGCCAACACAGCAGTATGTCTCTTCATTGGCGTGATACTAAAGTAATTAAAGAGTAGTTAGATAATTAGCTAACTCTATCTAATCTATGGCTAGATTTCACTAGGGGCAAGTGTGAACATAATGATAAGTCGGGAAATATGTGTTTTTGTAATTTGGGTGAATTGACCTGTTATGCTAAATGTCATAGTCGACTCAGGCAAGTGCAGTCCAACTCTCAAAATCTGAAAATGATTATTATTATATTATTTATTTTATCAAAAAGATATATTGAATGTTTAACAAGTCCTTAGTCATCTTGAAAGTATACACAATCTTCTTCTTTAAACCTTCTGGTAAACCTCTCTTTTGTTTAAGGTTCCAAGTAACTTCTTCTACTTGTAGGCTAAAATAAGTGCCAACAGTTATTCACACTTTATTTGACACAAGTCTGACCTAAGCTGAGAGTCCTGTGGCTGGAGTACATCTGTCCTGGGATGACTCAGTTTTGGCTTATGTAAGAGTCTAAATGAGATTTAAAAAATATTCCATCCTAACCTCATCCTGAGCAGAAGTCATAGGACAAAACAGAACCTGACCTAAACAGGTTGTAAGAAAAAAAAAAAAGTAAGGCTGAATTCTGTGCCAAGAAACAGATGGATTGCTCCATTGCTTCCTTGTTCAGGAGGAAATCTCAGCTCTGCTCATTTTGTGCAGTGTGCTATGTGAGAGATGCAGCTCAATTTCTGTCCTACAGAGGTTCCTCAAATAGAATAGGAGAGCTGAAGCATTCCTTGAGGACTGAGGTTGTTGTCTGATGTCGGAAAAATCCCAGAACTCTCACTAGACAGATTTGGTGCTCTTCAGTTGAGGGCATCTGAGAGTAAATACTTTTGTTGAATAAAACACAGTTTCATTTTTGTTTTCATTTATTTTTCACTTAAAGAGAAAACTAGGGTACAGAATACTGTACCCACCACCAAAAATCAATAAAAACAACAAGCTTTCATTTCAAATATTTTACATGTATCTGATATCCCTCCAACAACAAGAGTTTGCAATGAGCACAGTGAAAAATGAGCTGGCTGTTTTCAGATTTTCTCCTTTTTCAGCACTCTCATTCACTTTATGTAAAGCAAACCAAGCATGATGGCAGTGAATACACACTACTGACTGCTGGATAAAAAGCAGAGAAGCTGCACAATCTCAGCTTTCGAAGAGACAGTTCTTCAACAAAAATGCTTTGATTTCAGACGACGTCTGCATCTCTGTGCCCACTTCACTCACACAGATAGACAAAAAAAAAAGATATTCTCCAGAAATGGGCAGCACTACGCTTTTTCACAGGCTCATCTTGGATTGTCCTCAAGTGCAATGACATAGGAATTTTAAATGCCTGCAGTGAGATGAATGAGTGAGGATTCTCCAGTGGAAAGTTGCAGAAAAAAGTAATTTGACAGACTTTCTTTTTAGGAGAACCTGTTCTAAATTTATCACTCCTCCACCCAAAACCAACTGCAGCCTGGTAAATATTTCACCGTGTGTCCCCTCTCCCACATAAAAGGTTTGAGAGGTGCTCCTGGAGATGACTGACGATTGTTGCACACCAGGGCCCGTTACTGTGTTTCAGCATAGAAAATAGTTCACTTTACTGTGCCCTAGCTGGTAGCCTAGCGGAAGTAATGGAATTCTCCATTAGCTCAGGCACACTGTTTGTCTATGGCTGGGTAATCCCTGAGGACTGCTGCGACTGTGGATATGTCCCAAATCCTCCAGAGATATGAAAAAAAACCTTTAAACTCCCTGTGTGCGTCAGTGTTACTGTTTAGTGCATGGTGTTTTCTGGGATGTGATTATATTCTATTGCCACTGTTTGTTTTTTTTACCATTATTATGTGCTTCTCTAGAGGTGTGAGGTATCCCATGTTGTTTTAAATATGTTATGCATTTTATATAACATGATACAGTTTCGGATATTTTTGCATTCCACTCACATATTGCAGATACCATACTGAAAAATAGAGCCCCTTAAAGCTGCTATAATAAATATTTTTATATTGAAAATGGATAAAATGATTGCATGTAATGTGAGAGGTGTCACTCACCCACAGGAAATTATAACCTGATTTTGCCCAGTACAAAGACAACTAGCTGGTGAACATAGTGGAGCATTTAGTAGCTAAAAAACAGATATTTCCCCTCCAAATGAATGCTAATGTTTCACTGTGTCGGCTGGATATGTACATTTAACAACTGTTTGCTAACAACTTTCAGCTGTATCAATTTAAAATTTGATGTCAATCTTGTGAATATAGCTTGTTTCTGCTGCCCCCAAGTGGCCAAAAAAATCTGTTTGTCTGTTGTTTGCAGTTTTGATAATTCTTGCCCAATTTACGTTGCGTTTTACATTTACAATGCATTATTGACATACTTTACTGCATCGATTTATGTGTTTACTTCGTACATTGTAGTGCTGTCATTACTGGTTATGTATGTCACATTTTGCAGTGCTCTTTCATGTATGCTGTATCCTATTACTGGCTCATGGGGGTCAGTAAAGTTTAATCCCTTTGTATCAAAATGCACTAGATAAAACCAACTAGAGGTCCCACAGATGTTAGCATCAGCTCATCCTGCTAAAATACATGCTGGAAGCCGTGTACTGAAGAGTTAAAATGTGTTCTATCTTATCCAACTTGGCAGTTGTTTGTCTCCACAAGAATGGTGAGAGGATTTTGTATCATCTGAAAACAGCTCTGCCTTCTAAAGGGCCAAAGATGAGTCATAGTTTTGTAAAGAAGTGCCCTCCACTGTCCCACAAACACACAAATGTCCACCCAAATAAGCACCACAACCACCTTTCTCATTATTAAATAATGCATTCCGGGAGGAGTGTTGCATTACTGAGTTTTCATTATAAATTCCTAAGAATTCCCACAGCATGGAGTGTACCCATCTCAGGATCTGTCTTGTATCTATTTGACATTGCTCGCCTGGATGTGTTCAGTCCCTCCTGTAAAGCTTAAGTACATTTTAAGTGAGGGTTGTAAGCTTGGCAGAGCAGTGGTTGGAGGGATTGGTGGTTGAATAAACAGTAGTTCTTATGTAATATTCAGTTAGCACAACTAGCCTGAGCCAAGGGATCTTTAAGAAGGACATTGTATTAATGTGTTGCACTTGAATTTAGTTGGGAACCACAAAGTTATTGCCTAGGCTTCTGATATGTGATTTTTTTTTTCAGGAATGGTATTTATTCATATTCCCTTATATGCCATACCACATGTAACTTCCAGCAAACGTTTTTAATAAAAGGTTTTATTAGTTTATTTTTGACTGAAATGAGGTGTGTTGACCTTTCTTTCAGTTCTTGTGTCTATGCCACCATCCGTCCACCTGAACTGCCATGGACAACAAAATAATGACACCTGTCTCAGATGAATGATAGATGTTTCACCTGCTGTCATGGCAATGCTGACAAATTCTGATATGAGTCACATGCAAGTCAATTTTCTAAGGTGCCTATCAAATTTTGCATGTGGTGATTTAAGCTTTTTAAGATGATTAAAACCGATTTGTGTAATCTGTGTGTGTATGTGTGTCTAGGGGAACATAATCAAGTGCTTTATTGTCCTTTCAAAGTGATTCTGATCTAGATCAATACCACTGTGTGTTGTCACTTGTTACCAAGCTATAGTGTGCAGCAGAGATGCTGGACTAACAGCCCCCCTATTTTGTAAATCCAGTTAGCTTGTTAAAGTAAGAACTAAAAACGACTTGGATTAGTACTTTGTATTTGCACAATGTTGTTTCTGTACTGTGTGCCAGTAAAGTTTTTAAAAGAACTGGAATGGATTTCAGAGTCATTTTGGCATTAAGCGTGTTTGAAAACCAAGTTGTTTAATTAATGCCTGTATGTAGCAGAATATGAGATTCTACACAGCCACACGGCACTTGTAACAAGCACAAAACTGTGCTTTAAAAACATTGATGCGTAAAGATCAAGTAGCACTTTTAGACCTGACTTGTACCTAAAAGCCGATGATGAATTAAAGAATCCCGCCCAGGCTGACTGAGCTGAATTTGATGTTCACAGCGCTGATAGCATCACTGGTGGACGACGAGGCGAATTGGCCAGTGCTCCCTGAAGCTTTTTATCTTGATGAACAATAGAGTGGAAACCAGAAAAACAGCCGGGAGTGTCAAATATACAGCTTTTATCAGTGACGCATTTGATGCTGAGGAAGGCTGTGGGCATACAGCCAAAACACATACTGAGATGTGCACAAAGATTTATCATTTTGTGAGAATAGTGGCTATTTTCACAGTTTTGTACAAATTCCAGTCTTTCACACCTCACTTTATCTTTATTTTTCTGACACCTCCAGCTGCTATTTGAAACCACTGAGCTGCCTGTTTGATTGATAGTTCCCTCGTTACCCGCTAAGCTCCTCCGAAGCCAAAGAAAAGCAGCTAAAGACCCCCCCAGGCAATGACAGAGCTCATAACCTCTCATTGAGATGTCTGTCTTTGAAATTAGTGGATATGTACTTGATGCTTCACTGCTGTTTTATCTCAATGAAGACAGGCATTATATGTGATGGGTGAATAGCCATCCTTGTTTGCTATGATAAAGCTACTGTACTGGACAAGGTATTAAAGGGTTTCAGAACAAATATCAAGGTAGCTTCAACTGCCTTTAGTCATTTGTTGAAAACCTGCTTGGGAGTTAGTACTGATACTTCTTTTGTCTCCTTTCCTTGCAGATATCTGGGAATCACACGGCCCCTCACCTACCCAGCCCGCCAGAACGGTCAGTTGATGGCGAAGATGATCTTGGGAGTGTGGTTGGTGTCAGCTTCCATCACCCTCCCACCTTTCTGCGGCTGGGCTAAAAATGTCCACACAGCCAATGTGTGCCTCATTAGCCAAGACTTTGGCTACACCATCTATTCCACAGCTGTAGCCTTCTACATTCCTATGCTGGTCATGCTGGTCATGTACTACAAGATCTTCAAGGCAGCTCGCAAGAGCGGCGCCAAGCACCGCTTCACTGACTTTTCACGACGCGAGCGCCTCGAAACAGTGGCTAATGAGACGCTGCGAATGCAGGGCCTGAAACCGCCCGGTGTGGCAGAGGAGTGTGTAGCCTTGTCCCGCCTGCTGAACCGTGAACGCAGAAACATCTCCATCTTCAAGCGGGAGCAGAAAGCAGCGACAACTCTGGGGGTGATCGTGGGGGTCTTTGCTGTGTGCTGGCTGCCATTCTTCATCCTGTCCACTGCCAGGCCCTTTATCTGTGGAGTGGAGTGTAGCTGCGTGCCCATCTGGCTGGAGCGCACTCTGCTCTGGTTAGGCTACGCCAACTCGTTAATGAACCCCTTCATCTACGCCTTCTTCAACCGAGATCTGCGATCCACTTATCGCGACCTTCTCCGCTGTCGTTATCGCAACATCAACCGTCGACTGTCTGCCGTGGGAGTGCATGAGGCTCTAAAGGTTTAAAGCAGCAGCTTATATTTACTCTCCAGTAGTGTGGTATGATGGCCCTGTGCTTGTACACTTGGTGCTTAAAGGGCGACGTGTACTGTACACAGCAGGCCTGTAGATAAGACAAAGACTGACAGAATGGGAGTCACTGTTGGTGGCTCTATGGCACCGTCGCAAAGGCAGAAAGACAGCACGATCACTCTAGTGTGTGTGTGACTCAGTCATTCTATTTTGGGAAAGAAAATCATAGAGCGTACTTGATGGGCTATTCAAGTCGACACTGCTTTTGTGCATATGCCACAATTCTGTCCTGGCTCCGGATTTATGGTAGGATAATGTAGTGACAAAGGAAATGACATGTAAACACAATAAATCATCCTAGGGCTTTCAAACGGAACAGAAGGCAAACAGATTTCTGTATAATAACAAAATTGATGTTTGAAACATTTGTTTTGTTTTCATTGTCTTCTGAACATCTTCATCTAAACATGCATTTGAGCACATCCCAGATTCATTTCAACCAGAAAGTGAACACTTGGAGGTGTATTGTGCTTTGTGCCAAGATTAAATATAATTTATATCACTTTACCTTTAGTCATATCTTTCAATTTGGACCTCTGACTAAATTTAACAGGAGCACCTTAAATATGTCACAAATGTTTAATATGTGGTGATGCCAAGGGAATGGAGGTGTGTGGAAAATGGTGTTAAAATGCATCTTCCATTCATTAAATCTGAGTGTTTGTTGCTATAAAAAGAAACGGAAAGTGGTTTGTTTAGTGTCTGCATGAAACATATTTGTCTTACATGCCACTGTATACATAGATCATAAGAGATTTTGAGTAGTAAGTGACAGCTTGGCAGAAGTGTTTCCATGTTTAACTTTATCGCACACTTGAACTCAAAATGAACTAAATAGTGTATGTGTCAGAAACCATGATACTGTGGACTTTTTTCACTTGTTATTTTGCCTTCATTCCACATTCGGCTGCTGACCTTATTGGAACCTATTGAACTCTGCAGTTTCACTTTCGGAATTTACATGTTCTTGAGACTCTTTTGCTCCACTGGTTGTCAACAATGTTTCTATCTCCCTTTTGAACCAGGATGTGGTCACTGCCCTCCTGACCACACCTGAACTCTTTGGTGACCTGTATAAACCTGTGTCAAATCAGTCATCAGTCGAGCAGTGTGTGCTTTTTCTACCTCGATTTTTGAGAACACTGTACATTTCCTCCAAACAGATGTTCCGCTGTATTGCATCATTTTGTAATTAACTACTATTTTATATTGTGGAAGATCGATCTGTCGACAACTGCTCTGTGATTGCTCTGTCTGACCGCTTTGTCGTTACCTTCAGAAAGAAGCTGGGGAAGCGGCAAAACATTTCAACACTTTGTAAATAAAAAATCACTTGGTTAAAATGTCACCATGGCCTACATTGGTAACCTCAGATGAAAACCATTCATGAACTGGTTCGGTGATGGAGATGTAGTTCTTTAGACTGATATGCAAAGGATCTTTTTTCTCTCATTTTCAAACAGGAGACAATCCACATAGGCCTCCTTGCTCTCTTGCCCCACAGATCATATACTCATCAAAAGCCTGATGCACTCAGTTTGTCGTGCAAAATTCAACATCCTTGCCGACTAGATTGATAGGTCTATCATTAGGAATAAAGACAAACCTTAAGGCCTGCTATACGCCTTTGAAACATCCATGGCATTTCTTAAGAATTAGCACCAAGGCTGTTGTGCTACAGCAAGGACTCTGGAGACATGTTTAAGGATGATGACCCAAAAAAGATGCCTTTATTCTCTGTCTGCTCGGAGCAAAATCTTTTATTCAGAGTCTGGGTGACAGCTGTCTGCTTCCTTTCATGACTGAAACTGTCCTGTCCTATAGAGACGCAGGAGAGAGGTAGAGTCTGACGTGTGTGATGTGTCGTGTCTTGCGATCAGGAGTAGTTAGTAGTTCAAATACTCAAACCAGTATGGAACAAATTACACTTGGAGGTTTGAGGAAGCGGTCAGGTGTAAGAGTGCTAATGTATTTAACCATCTTAGTACAGACTAATTCAAGCTGAGTTTGTATGTACAGGATAAATCACCAGTTTAAAGGTCCAGTGTGTAACATTTAGGAGGATCTATTGGCAAAATACTCTATTGAAAATAAGAATCATTGTGTTTTTGTTACCTTAGAATGAGCTGTTTATGTCTACAGAGGTATTAGATCCTCTTTCCATGTAGTCCACCATTTTGAAAAGCCATGTTTCTACAGTAGCCCAGAATAGACAAAGCAAACACTGGTTCTAGTTTCTCTTCGCGCTAGAAAAGAGAAGGTGAAGCGAGTGAGTTTGCTTGTGGGTACATCACTGTGAGGGATGCAACCCGGTATCAAGTGTGTAATACGTACACCAGTCCACCATGACAGTGTCGCGTTTTTAACACATTCTCATTCCTTGGTCAAATTAGGGAAAATAAGTATGCCGAATACACTTCTGGTTACAATTTTCAAAATAAAGCGTCTTTTGTGTTTAAGTTCTGTGTTTGTTTGACCCATCCATCCACCCCGTCCTCCTCCCTACGCACACTTTCTTTATTTATACTTTTCACGTCTAGACAAGGCAAGTCGTGACACTCATCTTCTTATGTAGGGGTCAGCAACCTTGGGCACGCATGCCAGCTTTGGCATGCAATACCTCAACCAATGACAGCCCCTCATGGCTGTACATACATTTAAACTCAGATGTGGATATATTTGATTTTCAAGGATAGCAGCCTTCTTGTATAGAGCTCTTGTATATAATTATGATGTCTTGATTATGGAAGAATTTTTTCTTGTTGCTAGGCACGTTGCCTATGAGAATGGAATAAAATTACAGATCCATTGGAGATTTAAATTTTGATGTGGTGTCAGAATTACAATGTTGATATGGCAAACTGAATAACAAGAATATTTGAAAATGGCATCTCATGTCTGATCCCTTTGTACATGAATATTATAAGAATAATTATAACATCTTTAACATGCTGATTTGTAGTATTTACAGAGTTCACCATCTCAGTTTAGCCTTTCAGCTTGCTAACATTTAGTAATTAGCCCTAAACACAGTACATCTGAGGGTGATGTCATTAGTTTTGCCAGTATTTGGTCATCGACTAAAATCTAATTTTGCTAGCCATGCAGGTAGCATCAAGGCCACTGCAAGCAAGCGAAATAAGGTTAATTTTATTGTAATGAATAAAGTGGAAACAGGCATTTTGTTGTTGAACTGAAGTGGATGGTTTGTATCATTGAACACCTGTGTGCCAACAAAAAGTGCTGCTCTCCGCATTAGCTCGTTAAATCCGGGCCAAAATATCTTTCTGGTATCAGTTCAAATTTCCAAAGCTGTGTTAATATTCTTTACTATGTCATCACATTATATTCCAAAAATCATCTGCTTGTTTGGGTTGGCAGTACATTTGGCCAATTCCTGCATGTTGCCGTCTGTCAAATGATTTGGTTCCCAATTAGAGCATATGGACTTTTCTAATTATACTTTTCATTGTCACCATGAGTATCTCTCCAAGTTCACTGAACACACTGTTACATAACTCAGCACTAATTCAACAATAACAAAAACCCATATCAGAATCCAAGGGATAAGGTTCATTTAAATAGGGCTTTGTGGCCTATGTGTGTCTATTTGGGGCACAGTGGCATAAAAATGTTTGAAACTCCCTGAAGTAAAGAGCAGGAACATGGCCTTGGCCAACATGTTGACATTTTGTTTTAGCACATGAAATAGCAGGCAGCCCTTGTGGACTTTGTGCGTCTCCCCTAAGATGTCCAGTCTCCCAGAAGCCATGTCAACAGGCGTTACTCTCGGGGAATGAGCACCATTGTGCCTGAGAGGAGTGCCTGCTCTCTCAGTTTGTGTGGCTTGCCTCCTGAGCTCCCTCCTGATGTGTGTCATCACTATCTGTGAACGGGAGAAGAGGGTGAAATGTTTACGTGTGATGTAGTAAATTCATTAAAGGGAGAAAAGATAGCAGCAGATGAGTCTTTCACATATGCTGCCCACAGGCTCAGTTGCCAGCTCTGACAGGCTGTGGGGGCTGACAGGGGAACATACACTGTGGCTTTGCTATTTTTAATCTGCCCCAGTAATTAAGGGGGGACGCTTTGATTAAGCATGGGGAAAGAGATCTGAAGCGCTACAATTTTACTTTCTTGCAATGTGTCCCTTACACCCCAATATGTATACACTCTGTGATTAGGAGCCTTTGTTTGATGGTTCCCAGCAGTTAAACTACGATGACCAGCAAGAGATAGAGGTAATTATTTGCCACATTTTATTTGGATATTGTGCCTACAGATTCGTATCCATTTGTAACATTTCAACAGCTTATGAGTTGAGATTCGAGAATCGTTTCATTCAAGTTTATACTTGTGTGTGTTGCATATGACACAGACAACACATATGGACTGTATGTTTTATATTTGATGTTATATTATATTCATGTCATGTTCAGATACCATATACAAACCATTTTACATAGTGTAAAACCTTTATAGAATCTGTAGGAAAGAGTGTGTCCATCAACATTCAAGCCTCTAAAAATCAAGTCAAACAGTCTGAGAGGGGAAAATCACTCACATATGTTCACAACATATGGGCATGCAAACCATGACAAGAGGTTGAAATAAATGTTGCTTCATATTCAGAGGTCACAACCAATTAAAGGTACAGTGTGTATGGTTGAGTGGCATCTAACTGTGTAGATTATAACTCAGTCGCTTTCCAAGCTGAGGGAGAAACTATACGGTGGCCACAAATAAACTGATCTTTTTAGAGAAGACCTACAGTGTCTGTGGATAAAAATGGCTCGTTCCAAGGTAACAAAAACACAACAATTCTTATGGTGATTATATAGTAATGGAAAGATTCCTATGAATATTGTATTCTATTTCTGCCAATAGATCCTCCTAAATGTTACACACTGGACCTTTAGGTTTGGAACCACTGGCACACCTTATACAAATTTGTGTGGAGCTTTCTAGTAAATATATAAAAGTTTATGTTCAGTACGTCAAAAATAAAAAAAATAATGTTTTCTTAATTTTTTTACTCTATATTTAATAGCTAGCATACCAGCTGTTGGTCAGTGGAATAACATGAAACTAATGACAAGAAGTACATGCTAGCGGTGTGTGTATATAAACAAAATACCCACCAATAAAAACATTGCTCCATAGCACTGCTAGTGGTGAAAAATCTTTACAAGATTTCACAACAGCAAATAAAACTTTTTTATTTGTTATGCACGAGGGTTCCTCTGAATTATGTGGAAGAAGCAGAACTGGATGGTTAGCACAAACACAAAGACAACAGTTACACATGCAACAAGACAAACTTTCACCACAAACAGAAAATCCAAGCAAAACGACATCACTGCCCACCCATCTTCCACTGTGACCGCTACAGTAGGAAGTGCAGCACGGAAGCAACAATACCTTAGCAACAAAGATATCACCAAAACTCAGACATCTGCTATCTTTAAATGGCAGAGACAGGTAGCTGTTTTGAACATAGATATCACATACGGTGATGGCAGTAAAGTAAACACAGAGTGCTCCTGTTTTCCACAAAGCTGGACTTTGTACCAGAGAGATGACACAGGTTGAAGACAACTAAAAGGCCTAACGACCTATTTTAGCTTGTATTTCACAGTGAGGTTTTGATTGGTTACTTCCTGTGGGCACTGACACAAAAACATATATTTTAGGCAAATATGACACACCAACAGTCTCAAATTATTATTATTATTTGCATTAAATGCTCTTCATGTAGCCCCACTATGTGTCAGCTATAAGAGGGTTGTATATTTACATAAGGTTGTTGTATTAGTTTAAAATGTTATGCTGTTTTTACATTACATTAACGCGGCCATTCATTTAACCGAAGCTGTGGGAAATATTGCAATTACCTATGCCTTTTCAAGGTCACCCTCACTTAATTTCAAGCACAGAGCAAAGGAAATCAGATTTGTAAGGTAGCGTGGGCACATGTGTACCCAGCAGTTATATCCTCAAATGTAATTGGACCGTGCTTTTAGCCTTGTTCCCTACTTTCCAATCAAATGGAGGCTATAAATACCCCAGTAAACATGTCAATTATGTGTTAATCCGATTTATGTAGAGTGTCCTGAAATATCAACTTCCTCCCACGGCCACCACCAGCGGCCAATCACAGCACGAGAGTCTGCTTTTAGTCTGTGCCACTTCCTGCGGGGATGGGCCGGTAGCAAATTAACATGCAGAGAAGTTTATCTGCAAAGTGTCAAAGTGACAGCCAAAATAGTTTCTTTCCCCTCATTTTATTTTCTGGAGGCAGCTTTCTGTAATTAGGTTTTGTCATACTGCTGGAAGGTAAATGCATGC